TTCCAATAGGGAAAGACATTTTTGTTCAGTCAGGACTTCTTTTGAAGGGGACCCAGCTGGTCAGGCATTAGCTATGCTTTCCACTCTAGCTGTCTGGATAGCTCAGTGAGTTATGGTTGAGTTATGGTGAGTTATTTGGCTATGGAACCATACATGGAGAGTTTGATCCCCCATTTTGCCTCCAAGGAGAAGAATGAACCTGTGTAGCCTTGGCCAAGCTGCATTGTGCAAGAAGAAAGGAATACTAAATCATTTTTGAGTGCTGTGTACTTAGGATACCCTAAGTCAGAATCCGTTTGATGACACACACATGCAGAGGCCCCCATGCCTTTTGTTCGTGTTTTCTTGATTGTATTTTGAATTTCTTTGTTTTTATCTTAAGTTTCAGTTGAGAACTTTTAAAAATCTGAGCATCATTACTGCCTGAAGCAACAGGTGGTGTGTTTGTTTAGCTGAAAAGCAGGGGTATTAATTCATTGACTGTAGAAACAGTTATGTTTCAAAGGAGAAAAGAATTCATAAAAGCCTGTTAAGACTGTTGTGTTGATACTTTCAAGCAGCAGAATAGATTGCACAGTTATGAAATCACTCAGAATAAGGACTCTGCTTGACTTGTCTCTACACCCTATGTAGCTGGCATCCCGTCGCCTATTTATTATGGAGCTATGATTGACACCACATGCTTGAAATGGGGAACCAAGAGTTGCGGTGGTGAAGGAGCCTGTCGGATGTACGATTCAGACATGTACAGGTACTTTTACTAGCATACTGCCTCTGCTCCTTTGTAAAACTCCAGTATGTTGTAGAGCAGAGCTGGAGAACATCTGGCTTTCCTCATATTTTGGACTACAGAGCCCATACCTCCTCACCACTGCCCATGCTAACTGGAATATCTGAGAGAAGACATCCAAAACATCCTTTCACAGAACGTATGTAGACCCTAGAGGTTAACTACACATTCTATTGCAGTTCTTCACAACGTAGTTGCTCTTTTAATAAATGGGCAACAACACCAAACATTGGGGACATAAAAGGCACCTCCCTGAAGAATGTTAGGACAATGAACACATTTGGGCATTCCCTGGGTAAAGATGGCACCCTTCCACTCCAGATGGAACATTACAGGAGGACCCCTGTATCCGCGGGATCGGTTCCAAGCTCCCTGATGTGGATGCTGAAAAATGTGGATTATAGCAAAGGCCATTTTAATAGCAAACATTATATATAAAACATGCTCTCTATCTCCCTCTAGTGGCCAGTTCTTGTAATGTACTGATAAGCCAGAACTATATATAAGTCAGTCTCTGGCGCCCCCTGTGGACAGTTGTGGTAACTTCATCTTTAGAAATATATATTTTTAGGATTTTTCTTTTAATATTTCTAATATTTTCAAAACATGGAGAAGTGAATCAGTAGATACTGATCCACAGATAAGGGGGTCCCACTGAACATTGATTCTGACACAAATGTACAAGAACACTAATCACCCCACATGGCCCTCCCCCCCCCACACATACACATCGAGGAGGTCACGGAGTTGGGAAAGGCTGTTCTGCGGTAATATGTGTAACGGTGCAATCAAGGCCACTGTCAGCTGGTGGACTGAACGAGAGGGCACCACACCCTAACCCAGAAAATCAATTGCTTTGGGAGAAGGAAGAAGTTTCTAGTGGGGGCAAGGAATCCTTTTCTTGTTCTCCCTTTCCTGATTGATGTCATAGGAACATAAGAAACTGGAGCCCTATTTAGTCATTACCTTCCTGGTTGTTCTCAACAACGTGGGAGGGGAGCAACCCATCCTTTCTCTCTATTGTTGCTTTTGCCATGTGGTGAAGAGGAGGAACCTCCATAAACAAGAATAGGAGAAAACGTGGGTTCTTTCTCACATGTAGAGACCACACATGAGCTGGGGTTGTCAAATCACCCTTCGCATGGAGAAAGCAATGACAGAGAAGGGATTGATCACTCCTCTGTAAACGTGTTGTTGAGAAACTAGATAAGGAATGACTGAATAGGGTCAGGATGAGACCCCTGCTCTATCTATTTCATTATTGTTGAATTTGATTGGCAGGGTTTTAGGCTGGAATGCTTCCTAGTTGAATTAAGCTACAGCCTTTACTGCAAGACGTCCAAAGACCCTTCCAAATGCACTACAAAGGAAGTGATCTGGAACATCGCTGGGATCAGGTCATAGAAAACATTGGTCTTTCCTACTTGTGGTCACTCTAGGGCCCTTCTTCCTTTGCCCCTGGTCTGTCCTTCCAATGGAATAAAACTGCGGATTGGGGAGTATGAGGAGCATGAATTAGTTACATCTTCAGTCGGCCACAATACATAGAGAAGGTGCCCAATACATGAATGGAGATATCCTCCATAGGAGAATCTTCGTATGGTTGTTGAATGCACAACCTGTAGAGGCCGTGGTTAGAGGGCATCACAAGGAGGATGACTTATGCTCAAGTGAATAATTCAGCTCCTGAGGCTAAGTCTGGACATCTATTCAGACTAGGTCCTCTGGACCTCTCTGGGTGGCCCTTTCTGTGACAACACAACAGTTTGAAGTTTTTTTTTCAGATTTTGCATGAGATTCCTGTCTCTCTCCCCCCCCCTTTCTAAAAGCCTGGGATAATTTTTAAAGTTTTTATTACTAGTCGCACCTTAACTCACAAAGTCCCCTCACAAATGCTTATAACATGTACTGGGGTAAAGTATCTAAACCCCTAAAGTTAATATATGAATGCTGCTAACTATGATGCTGCATACTTAATGATAACAGTGCAAGGTTGTCATTGGGGAAGGAGATTTATGGGCCCAGTGGAATCTGTGTTTTGCACTTCCAGATAATCATGGCTGCTCTCCCCCCCCCCAATGTGGTTTTAAATTATACTCCAGATTGCTGTACCTCGGTCTGTCTTCAGTTCTCCGTGCGATCTCGTACATCCCTTGTGCCTTCGTACTACTCATTTTGAGGAAACAGAACAGGAACTGGACAAACGAGAACATAGAGTTAGAAGCCAAAGAAGAAAATGGGACAGTGGAACAGAAAGACATGCCAGAAGCTCAAAATGCGACACATTTGCAGCAAGAGACAATAGAGATGAAAGACTGCAGAAACACGGACTTGTGAAGGAAAAAAAAAGGATCAGTGGTATTTAGAATAAGGGATTGTATTCAAAAGGTTGTATTCAAGATGAGTGATGGAGGTGTAGGTCCTTAATTTTGTCCATGTCACCTTTAGTGGTCCTCCCAAATATAAACATTTCATGCAAGGGGCAGTGGAAGATTATTTATGTTGCTATTTTGCTTCCATTGCCAAAGTTGTATGTTGGACTATGATGTGTATGTTTGCCAACTTTGTCTGTGTCCATTACTTCTTCTGTCATTTCGGTGTTTCTGGGAGGGGTACAAGTCATTCGGATTGCTTTTACGACCATGGTTTGCTTATTTCCTTGGCTTTCCTCCATGATGCATCTCAAAAGACCAAAGACAACAGCGGTAAGAATCATGGCCCCCACAACATACCAGAAGAAGAGAAAAATCATTCCCCCCCATTTAAAATAATAATAATCTCCTTAAAAATGGGTGATTCCCACTTCAAGGAAGTGCAATTTCTCCTTTTTTTTAGGCAAAAAAAAACTTTCTTTTTTAAAATCTTTCATTAGGAAAAAATTGTGTCATATCTGGAGGATATGGAGCTGGAAAAATGACAGATGCCCAGAGTTTGCCTAGAATTTGGCGGAATGGCCCTGAAATTAACTGGTGTGATGTAGTCACCAGAGGAGCCGACATGAAACTAAGAAGATCATTTGACAAAACTGGCTGTACAACATTCCATCTTCTAGTGTTCGGCTGATGTTATCTTTCTTAAGGAGCCTCATGGCACCAAGGTTAAACTGCAGGACTGCAGCCAAAACTCTGCGTGTGATCTGGGTTCAATCCCAGGCCGCTGGCTTGAGATTCACTCCACCTCCCATCCTTCTGGGGTTGGTAAATTGAGCACCCAGCTTGCTGGGTGTCTGTGTGGAGGATTGTGCAGCCTGCATAATTAAATTGTATACTGCCCAAAGAGTGTGTGGAAGTTGAGTCATGCCAACTGGATTTCTTTCTTATTAGGTTGAAACTCATTCAAGTAGCTTCTTCAGTCCAAAGAGCTACTTGATAACCACAAGTAGAAGCTACAGTACTTGGATGAGCAGCAAAACGTTTTGACCTAATAAGAAAGAAGTCCAGTTGCCATAACTCAACTTCCAGATCAGCTCACCTGGACGACTGAGAATCTTCAGAGATATATCACCCAGAGAATGCTTTGCTATGGGGCAATATATAAGCAGCACACTTTTTCTGTTTTCTTCTAATAGCTGCAAATCCTTGTGAGGCCCTGGTCTGCTATTATGTGTACAGCCATGCCCCGCTTAACGATTGCCTCACTTAACAAAGAAATAGCTTTACGATGAGGTTTTTGCGATCGCAAAAGCGATTGCAAAACGAGGTTTTAAATGGGTTTTTTTTTGTTTTGCGATGATCGGTTCCCTACTTCGGGAACCGATTCTTCACAAAATGATGTTTTTTGAACAGCTGATTGGCGGCTTCAAAATGGCCACCAGCTTTCAAAATGGCCCCCGCTGTTTTCTAGGGACGGATTCCTCGCTTTACAGACACTGAAAATGGCCGCCATATGGAGGATCTTCACAAAACGAGCAGGTATTCAGCCCATTGGAACGCATTGAGCAGTTTTCAATGCATTTCAATGGGCTTTTTTTGTTTCATTTGATGACATTTTCACTCTGCAGCGATTTCGCTGGAACGAATTAACGTCATCAAACGGGGCACCACTGTATATTCATTTGGATATGCTGGGAACAGTATCTAGTGCAAGGAGCAAGGTATGGGCTCTCCAGTTAGAGTAAGGGGGCCTCACCATCCTCTCACTTCCAGGAGTGGCCATGAGCCCTAATTTTAAAAGGACAGTCCTCTATTTGAAGGGCTGCAGGAGACCGTGAGGAGTTTTCTAGCTGAAGGTCTTCCTGGCAAAGTCCAGTTTATGGATAAAGAAGCCTGGCCTGACTTCAACACTGTTAGACCTGCACAGTGTCCTGCACTTTGTTATTCCCAATGGATATCATCATTCAGAGTTGCCTGAGGTGAAGGGAACTTTCTGATAGTACATTTTGGTGGTCCCTTTGAGGGAGGGTTAGAAAACCGTACATCGGAGGTGACTTGACTGCACGTAACAACAACAATCCTCTTCAGCATTTCTCTTGAGTTACTCTTCTTGTGCCAGGGTAACCTGGGAAACGAGGAAGGGCAACCTGCCTTGAAGCTCTACCCTGAGGAGAAACAACAATCTTTTGTTAGTTAATGAGAGCAACTCCCCCTCCTTTTTTTTTTCCTTCAAAGTGACCAAGTATTTTCAGAGCTGGATTGAGAGCATTATTTTGGCCCACCCTTAAGAGCAACTGAAATACAGAATGTTTGACACTTCAGACTTCTGAATACAAATATAGTTTGCCTGACTTTGGGGTTTGTTTAGACCATGGGGTAGTCAAAGATGGTCCCATGGGCCACTTGTGGGCTCCCCTCAGAGGAGTTTGTGAAGGCCCACACCCACTATAGTTACTTTAAAAACAAACTTTTTTTTCAGAGGAGAAAACACTTTTGAGGGAGGGTTAAGAAAAGCTTTCAGGAGGGGGAATTTTCACATAAGGCATAAAATTGTGAAGAATGTGCTCTGTGTGTTTATGTGTGCTGTCAAGTCACTTCTGACTTACAGGGTTTCTTATGTAAAAAGATATTCAGAAGTGGTTTACCCTTCCCTTCTTCTGGGGACATCCTGGAACTGTGCAGCTTGCCCAAGGCCACACAGGCTGGCTCTTCTGGAATTCTCAGTGGGGACTTGAACTCTCAACCTCTGGCTCTAGCAGTCAGAGCTATCCAGCCAGCTATCTAGGACTATTCTGGTTCATCCTAACTCCACAAAGAAACCTCACAATCAAAACCAGAAGTGAGCTTCTGGACTCTTCCAGTTTTGGTTATTTGGTGTTTTTAAGTTTTTTGGCAAGCATTTTAGAGTGCATGAGTGTCAAGGGCCCCACAGGTGAAGGGGTCCTGACTTAGGCCCTTGGATCCGTCATGTTTGCCTCACCGCTCCTACAAAAACTCTCCCACCTCAACTTTCATCACCCAGCGAGCTTAGACGTTTAGCAACTTGTGACATGCCTACCGAGATTGGGATTATTTTGCTTTTGGTCACAAAGCCTGGAAGAGTTGGTCAAAGCTCATGATGGTCGGGGGATTCTGGGGCTTGTTGTCGCTCCTCCATTATGAAGCTCACAGGTATCTGTTTACTGCCCTGCCAGTGCAGAATGGAGAATAACTAGGCAATCTTGATATTGGCAACACTAAAAGTAATTTTGGGTGCTGCGGTAAGAGAAACCAAATGGCTGCCGAAATAGCCACGCCATCTACTTATTTGCATGAAATGAACTCTCGGCAATTAAAGTCTTGGTTTCTCTTTAAGGATATCCATCTAACAGTACACATGACCGAATATTTCCTGAGAAGTCATTATTGGCCCTTTAAAAGGTAACATGCACCGGAGAAAGAAAGGTAGAGAGAGAGAGGGATTTGCTGAGTAGTTTTACATATTTTTAAGGAAAGGGAATGTTTTGAAAGATTATCTCAGGTAGGTTCTCAGGTAAGATCATCTCAGGTTAATCGGAAGTCTTTTAAATCTCTGGGGATGTTGGCTTATCTTTTATATTTGACTGTAGGCACGTGTCACAAGAAACCATGGTCTGGACTGTTGTGAGGACAAAGTAGAGGAAAACTGTGTACTTCTTGAACTCTTGGGAAGAGAGCTGGCATGTACACATAACTAATAAAAATGCACTATGTTTGTTAGTTTGGTGGAGAGAGCTTCAGAAGCTGAGACCACCATCAGCAGTTGCCAAGTGAGCCCGGGTGTTGAGAACTTCAGAAAGCATGGCTGTGAGAATCTCCTTTCCTGAGAGAATAAGAGCATACCTGATGCCCTTCAGATATTTGCAACAACCATTCCCATCACCCCCAGCCAATGTGGCCAGCAGTCATGAAAAGAGTAGAGAGCTGTGGCATGGAGGAAGCAAGGGATAAGGTCCGAGAGTACCTTCTCCCCGTTCCTCCAAAGGGGCTTGTTTTCTCAAGTGCTCATACGCTTTCTAGGGTTCATTCATGGGAGTGGAAGGACTCAAGGGCTTTTAAAAGATTATTATCCTGGAAGAGCTTGTTTGCTGGTGGAGAGACATTGAAAAAGCTGAGCATTACTTGCTGATGAGCTGTCTCCAGGAAGAGTTAACTCCCATGGACTTAGCAGACTTAGATTTGGCTGGATCCTGAAGAATTGTGGACCTACTGTACTGTTCATCTTTTCCTGTGAGCTGAACCTAGGAAGTGGCCTTATACTAAGCTAGACTTTTGGTCCATTTCACCCTGTAGTATATCACTCTGACTGGCAACCATGGTTCTTCATGGTTTCATGAAAGATTCTCTCCTGGCTCTACCTTGTGGTACAGTGGTTAAACTGCAGTACTGCAGTGAAGACTCTCCTCTTGACCCGAGTTCGATCTTGCGCTCAGGTAGCTGGATCAAGGGTGACTCAGCCTTCCAAGGCCGGTAAATTGAGTACCCAGTTCAAGGGAGGGGGGAATCCATTACTCCACCTTCTAGGTGAAGAGAGAAAGAGAGAGTAAACTCCTTTGGCTGATCTCCTGCACGTGCAGAATAAATGTGCACAAACTGGTATGGTGCTGTTATTGTTTAGTCATTGTGTCTGACTCTTCGTGACCCCATGGACCAGAGCACACCAGGTCCTCCTGTCTTCCACTGCCTCCCAGAGTTGGGTCAAATTCATGTTGGTCACTTCGATGACAGTGTCCAACCATCTCGTCCTCTGTCGCCCCCTTCTCCTCTTGCCTTCACCCTTTCCCAACATCAGAGTCTTTTCCAGCGAGTCTTCTCTTCTCATGAGATGGCCAAAGTATTGGAGCCTCAGCTTCAGAATCTGTCCTACCAGTGAGCACTCAGGGTTGATTTCCTTCAGAATGGATAGGTTTGTTCTCCTTGCAGTCCAGGGGACTCTCAAGATCCCCCTCCAGCACCACAATTCAAAGGCATCAATTCTTCAGTGGTCAGCCTACTTTATGGTCCAGCTCTCACTTCCATACATTGCTACCGGAAAGACCATAGCTTTGACTGTGCGGACCTTTGTCGGCAAGGCGACGTCTCTGCTTTTTAAGATGCTGTCTACATTTGTCATCGCTTTCCTCTCAAGAAGCAGGCGTCTTTTAATTTTGTGGCTGCTGTCACCATCTGCAGTGA